CACAGATCACACTCACAGATCACACTCAATTCGCGTTCTGAGCCAAGACGCAGATGGTATTTCCATCCGTCAGTCGCCGCCCCCCAAGAGAAACTACTCCACGCATACTAATAAAAGGTGGTCAAAAGCAAATATTCTAACCCCCCACCTATCCTAGAAAATATTGTCTTCGAAAAACACGACCAACTATCAAAATGTCCGGCCCTATTACTGATGCCCAACCACCCTTCAGCAGCTGGATTATCTTCGTGAGTCGCCTCTAGAATTCTAGCTTCAGTCTGATGGCAACTTCTGGGAACGCTAATACGTTTCATATATTTATAGCCACGCAACAACCCTCACATCATTTACTACCTCTTTCTCAATCACACCCCTACTGCCGACCCCACCCAACCTACCTACATCCTCTCCAATAGCGACGCCCTCTCCTCTCTGACCTACGCCTTTGCCACTACCCCCGAATACTATCATTCCTGGCTGGTCTTCAAGTTCGTCCAGTGGGAAGCGTTGAGAGCGAGTGCCGAAGTGGACATTCCAGCAATGGCCGATCTATCCCCCCTCGCCTTTCCTCCAACGCCGTCCACCATGGATATTTCCAAGGCCATTATCGACCTTTGGAAGTCTCTCGACCCAGCGGCCATTCTCGAATGGGAAGAGCTGACACGCGACATCCGGAGCGCCTACGCCCAGCTGGTTTCTCGATTCGGTAACGGTGTCGTGTTCGACGGCGACGCTTGGGAAGATCAAAGGTACTACCACGCACGGAGTCTGTTCTACAAGTGGATGGGCTATCAGTCCATGCATAGCACAATACAAAATGATCCGACGGCCATATACGCACCAACATCTTTGGCCCCAACGGTGAGAATTAAGCCGGTTTCCAGCAGAGATATGCCCTGATGCCACCCTTGATTATGTTTCAGGAAGTAAATGCGCAGGTATTTAATGTTCTGCCTCATGCAGACACCCCGTGGTCGTTCGAGGCAATATAGCGAGATTTCGATACAATCACCAAATCGTAGAACGGCTGTTTGGGTGTGATGCTTGAAGGAAAACAATATCTAGTAATGGCATGCCGACAACGCGCGATTTCTAGTAGTTTGTGAATAGAATCCACCGTTCAGAAAATAGAATCCTTACCAATGACTCTCCCGTGTATTCATAAGATGTGGAATATAGGCTCAGATCTGGTTTGGGTAATAGCAAGAATGGCATAGTGGGAGCCGAGTTTAGGATCGATTGCGCCCAACGCCCGGCTTTGGCACAACCAGGACGCTCGTAATATGCTCGAAAATTATAGAAGCACCAGTGCCTTTCCTGGACCCAAACACAACAGAAGATTTAGAGTGTGGTTAT